GTAAAGAGAACAGCACACTATTTTTCCTTGGCAGAGTCTGCAAAAACGCTCACAGCTCAGCAGCAAAAAGCTGGCTAGAAGAAGAAGGGCCCCTCTTTCACTGATAGATTTTGTGAGCTTGCAAGAGAAATGTAGAGGAGTCAACAGAAGTTAAGAGTAGAGCAGTCAAGCTAGAAGTTAGTAGTTATGTAAGAAGTTCTTATAGAAGTCAGTACCAAGTAATTAGGTAATAGTAGATATTATACCGCCCACACCCAATCAGGTTCTTTGGTAGTCTAATAGTAGCCTATATGCTCATAAACCTATACTCAAAAGTTGTACCATCACAAATTATTATTGACACAGACACATTTTTGTTGATATCGATAGGTCGCCATTTTGAAATTTTCTTGGGGTCACCCTTCCTGATTTGTGACGTCATGACAGAATCAGTTTTGTAACAAAAAAACTGACGCAAACTTGTTCTTGTATTCACTAGAATGTCAAACAACCATTAGAGATGAGAGAAAGTAATGCACTTAGAGATGCTTCAGGAAGTGAAACTCGACCAACTCTTAAACTCAAACTTAGTAGCAAGGAGGTTTGCAATTCATCCAGCGACAAGACTGGCGTGCTAGAAAGCACCCAACAACCCCAAGGTCCAGTTTGCACTGACAACAATACTGCCACAAAAGAAGTACAAGGTAACCAGGAAAACTGGCCCGCAGGTAACTGTCCAGAAAGAAAAAAAAGGAAATTGAGATTACACTGATCTTTTGTATATAACCTTGAAGTTGACTAGCAAATAGTTTAATTTCATTGGTCGCACTATTTCCAAATAGACTTGCAAATATATAATCTACACTAATAGGACTTGAGTGATACTGAAATCCAATTTATAAGCTGTTCAGGTCAGCATGAAATTATTTTTTTTTGCTAGCTGTATATAATTTGATATCTTGTCTGACCTATGTGTTGGACAATAATGTAGATTTTTTTTTTTTATGAAGAAGCTGATCTAAAAGTCAGCAAATATGTTAGAGAGCCATCATTGTTCTGTTTGACTGTTCTGTTGAATTTTATGTATTTGAATCTTTTAAACATCATCTTATTTATTAATTATTGTTGGAATGTTATTACCTTTATAAAAGATAATACAAGTATTATTATTCTATAGTTGTGTTAGTGCTATTGCTCTAGAAAATCCTGCACCCATGTTGTGTATATGTTGATTCATTCAGTAGGTCAAGCTACATATTTCTTTGTAATCACTTGTCACTCACATCACTTGACACTATTAGAATTATTCATTTAACTTTTACATCCTCCATGTTAATGTTACACAAGAATTTTTAACATTTTCAGAGACCAGAAATTGGGGACATTTTCAAACAAAATTCATCCAACCTTTTTTTCCTAGCAAAAGATCTGGAAATTTTGTTGATATTTCTCTTAACAAAAATGTCTTTTTTTTTTTTTCCTTCAGATTTTTAATGGAACATCCAGAAATCTAATTATTAACAATATTAACAAAAAAGTTTTTCATTTTAACTACATTCCATATATTTTCAGTACATAATGTTTAAGTCTGTTCTAATCGCAAACTACAATTCTCATCTTGGGAATAACACAGATATTCTATGATTTTATCCCATCATTTGGTGCAGTTTATTTTTACATTTTTTTAAAAAGGTGCATTAGTTCAAGAAATATTTTGATCTACATTAGTTTTTTGATCACTCACTGCCACATAAACACTCAAAACGAAATGATTTGTTAAACAAATGTAATCAAGTTTCAACAAAGAATTATGAACAAAGGCAAAAAGAGTCATTGAAACAGAATCATTATTTAACACAATTATATTGGTTGGTACATACAGCAAAGATAATGTAACAATAATATAGACATACTTGGGCACACTGCGAAAACCTTCAACTATTGTAAGCAAAATTTAGAGACCTAAAAAAAAATTTGAACAGTTCTTCCGTCCACCCAGCCTTGTGAAACTTGGGCTAACAAACAAGCTAATGTAAAATTGTTCTAAACATTCTGTGGAAGTATTTCTTCAACATGAGAGTTACAAGGTGCCACAATACAAAACAACCTTTATCTGGACTACTTTAGGGATGAAAAACTAAAAAAAGATTATTAAAGATTTAACAAACATAGGTGCAATTAATTATAACAATGAAATATAATCTTTTCATGGACTACTTAAAGGATGACAATCAAAGTAAAAGAAGAGATCATTAAAAATTTAATTATAATAGGTCAATTGATATAAATCTATTCCATGGAACTTTTCATTACATTAACACATATGTTTATGACTAAAACCAAACTTGAAGAGAAATTATATATTTCATAATAATTTTTTTTATATGCTATTACAGTAAACATAAAATTACCTAGAAACAGACAAGAGTAACTAAATTTCAATGAACTAATAAATTGAGTCATCATTTACATTTATTATGTATACAAATAACAATGGCTTGTATAACAATTGCACTAAAAAGAAGAAAAGACCTATCATTTAAAAAAAAAAGTTTATGACGGTCCCACATAAGTCATCAAAATCATAGAGGAGTCCAAAGGAACTTGCCTTCTACTGCTTCATTATGCACAGAATGTTTAAGGGCCTGCATAGCACACCATCAAAGCTAGGGTAAAGCCTGTAGGCCATAGTTTTGGCATCACTGCTTAATTATCTTCCTTTAATATATAGATTTAAAATGTTTTGGGTGTTCCATCAGATTTGAAGATAATCTACTTCCTAATCCAAACCTCTGGCAGGACAACTGGAGAATGGAAGTAAGTTGGGTATGAACCCGAGACCATTGAGACAACTGAACGACCAGGCAGCCATCCTATATAACCTTGATTAAGTCAAGTTTTGCATTTTACTGACCATAGCATACATAACACATTCAAACTAAACAACTCATGTTCTGATCATCCAATGCAAACATTACTGCGGCGCCAATGTTAACTCCTTGTGCCATTTAGTTAGTTATAGCTGGCATAATCAAAGGGAGGTCACAGACCAAGTAAAGAGATTGTCGAGCAGAGTGAATTTTGTCTGAATACTTCAGTTTTAAAAGGGAAGCAACACAATGTACAAAATTGCAACAACAGAAGAGCTAGTCTTCCACGTTTATTTGTTATGTTTAAGTCTGTGATCTATCACCTTGTTCCTGAGCAGTTAACACTGACTTAAACAGAAAATTTTTATAAGTAACAGATGACTTTCTGCAGGTCATATATTTATATACTTATCTATCGGGTGATAACAATTAATAACATGGGGAGTATTGACTTGATCCAATAAAAATTGTTTTGATGCAATCAAATAATTATAAAATGTATTATACAAATTAAAATATACATTCATTAATAAATAATACAAAAACCTGCTAAGTTCCACCTGATCAAATGAGTTTAGCTTTAGAGTTCTGAAGTCTCAGGGAGTGTAAGTGGAATAAAATATTTGATCTTTTTATTTTACTTAGTCAAACATATAAATAGGAGTATGATCGAGACCCAGTCGTTATAGAAGGCCTGAACACTGACTGGCAACATCACAACATGTGGTCAGTTTAGACCAATAGCTTGTTGCCACATCACAGGTCTTGCCCACAGGTTGTGACATTGCAGGTCAGTGTTCAGGCCTACTATAATGATTGGTCTCAGTATGATTCATATTAAATTAGGCTGCACATAATTATGGTGTGAAATCAAGAGAACTATCTGACATGCATACAGAAAAACAGTTAAGTCACAACACTATCAAGAGATACCAGTGTACTGGAATATAGACACTGGCTACCTTAGGGCCATATGTACAATGAAACGAAACAATAGGGGATAATGTAAGACTAAAAACCAGTTTTAACCGGTATGGAAACAAATCTGTGCACAGGGAGTGAGGCGGAGGTTTGTGGTAAAGTTTTGCTCTAACTAAAATCAAGACTGTGGCTTAAAAAGATTGGTACCTGGTAAGCACTAGTCGACGAGACATACTTTGAACAAGAAATTAAGACAAGCCAGTGAATAAGTAACCAGTTTGCAATAATTAGGAAATACAAAGAACAGCCATCATAACCTTATGAACGAAACAAAATCGCTTAAGTTCCTGCTTGCAATATTCTGTGGCATTTTAAGCCTAGAGACTATCCCTTTACAACTTCTCATTTAACTAATATGCCATTGCAACATATTATTTCAATAGTAAAGATTAAATACCAAAACATATATGGTAATAAAAGAAAAAATTATAAAAATATCTTCATCATAGAGAATTATTTTTTTTTTTAAATCTTAAATCATCTGACTGGTGGATAGTAATGTATATAAAATTTACAATATTGTGTTTTCTGTTCTATTCTTATACTACAACATTTGACTTCATTCAAGTCATTGCAGACACAGCATTTATATGAACCATGTTACATCGTTAAGTAATTGCACATTAAGAAACAAGATGAAGAAGGCCACGCAGCAGTTCAAAAGACAAAAAAGCATCAACATTGCTCTAAGAGTTTTTGTTTTCCTCTATGAGCATCGATGTGATCATGTGAAACGGAAATATTTATGAAAGATGTCACATTTTCCGTACATTGATGGAGAATAATTTAAAGTTGACTTACTGCCCTATCCATACATTGGAGTGAAAATAATACAATAAGACTTAACTTGAAACAAGTTATTATCTCAATACATAATTAGCAATCAACTTGCATGAAACAGATTCTCATAGTGTAAACAACAAATATGGATTCTAACATAATCATAGTTCAATGTTATCACAAATGTAGCATAATCATCCTCTTCTGTGATTGCCAAACACATTGAAGGCAATACAGAGGACCAGTGCAGTCTACAGTATGGCCTGCAATGCTTATACAAGCTGGAAGACCCTAACAAAGTATTGGTAGTGTTCTCACTAAGAAGCCATATTTATTCATATTTCTTATTTATTTACACGACCTGCAATGAACCTGTGCTTCTATTACACCCTGAACTTTACTACATAGTGACTTTAACATTGACTTTCCTCAATCTTGCCCACAGTCGAGTAAGATGAAAATCGATTTATTATTGCAAATGTTGTCAACAGGCTTAAAAAATGAAATCACAAAAATCAATATAGCAGTGCGCAACAAAACACTGTTCATCGCACCAGTTGAAGGATTTCTATATAATACAAGTACAAAAGCTCCCCACCCCCCACTAACCTTTTTTTTTTCCTCCAAATATTTTAATGTATAAAAATAGTTTTGAATTCAACTAAAAGAATATATTATGTATTCTATAAAATAGTGCTTTTGATCAGGATCCAACATCTAGTGTACCAGTACTGCATTAGTCATAGCTCTGGAAATGTGCCTGCAACAAAACAAAAAGGACTTCTATTGATATTTCCTACATTTGCAGAGATAATGGTTAATATAGATTCAAAGTCATAGAGGTCCAAGAACAGATGTAATGTAATGTTTGGCCGGCTGACCTTGACATTCACAAGTATACAATGAACTGATTGGTATGATCATTAGCTTTGGCTGGCTACCCACATAGGAGAAAGAAAACTGAATTCAAACCTATGCTGCCTTGCAACTATACACAAACATTGTAAAGCCTTCGGGAAAAATAAGGAGCTGGTAACCTTTTGGAAGCTTGCAGCACATAGTTACACCCTGGCAGAGCCAGCGAGGCCACTGATCCAAAAGTGTATCAGCACATGCAGTTACTTTGGATTGGAAGGGGGGAACACTGACCATAGATATTACCAAGGAATTCATCTACTTTCTATGAGATGATAGATAGTTGCTTTGCGACTTTAACAGACCATAGATTGTTATTATGATATGGCCAGTGTGGGCCTGGCCTAACAGATGTGACTAAATAATCTGATTGATGCTTGGCCTAGTGGTTGGTGAAGGGTCAATCTCTCAATATTTTTTTACCACAACAGCGTAAGATTTTCAAAAAGCCATTGACATTTTTTTATGTTTAAATTTTTGTCGAATTTAAGTCAATACTGCATTATTATTAGTTAGTGGCATCAAAACTTTAATGATTTTTCTAGGCTGCTACCCTTGGAACTGTGGCTGAGCTTTATGATGACTATATCAAGAGAATAACATAAAGATTTGAAAGACATTTTTAACAACTGTAAAGGATTTCAAAGACGTTTATTTATGACTCACAGAAAAAATAGGAGACTTTTAACACAAATGCAATTATTAAGTTACAAAAGACTGAGTAAATAGTGAACATTTTAATGCTAATCAATTTCTTGCTAATTTATGTTAGAGTGAAATTTAATATATAATTAAGAAGAGGGGTTCTAGTTTATCATTGAGTGCATTCAAGTTACTCCAACACTGACTGTCCAACTCACATCATTTATAGCTAGTTGTTCAGAGCCACCATTTCTAAACTGATCATCGTCATCATCAGAGGAATCTTCACCCGATGAATTTCTATTGTCACCCCTTGTCATAACTGAAGAGTCTGAAAGTGATCATACAAGGATGGAAGTTAGAAATGACAATATCAAAATAGGATGCAGTGACAGAGATTAGAAGGCAGAAGTTGGAAACAGAACATCAACATTGCTGGAAATGAAAGTAGTTAAAAAAAAAGCACCACCAAAATGGATTGAACTGATTATGGCTACAAAACAAATATGTGTACAAAATCAATGCAAACAATAATTTTTAAAAATAAATTCTTTATAAATTATTGCTATTAATCTTCTATAGAAAAAGGTAGTTAAACAGATATATGAATTTGCAATGTTCTGATTAGAAGCACAGTGGTCATGTGGTAAAACTGATTGCTAAGGTATATTAGAAAAATGGTATCATTTTTTTATCTTATAATTTACAGATATTCCATCAAAAGAGAAAATAATTACATCAGCCAACGCTAAACATTTACATGTCGTTCAATGCAAAACTATGTGTTAATTGAAGGCATTCAAGCATAGTCTACACATATATGAAGCTCAATACAACCAATTAAATATAAAAATACTTTTTTTTAAACAAAGCTTATGTTGACTAAAATTGTATTAATTATTTTGAATCAATCATGTAATTAATTTTGAATATATCTAGACTACAATAATAAATTTGTGCAACTGGAAATAGTTTTATTAATTCGCTGGAGGGGAGGGAGAAAGGTTTTATGTGCTTTTTTATTTTTTAAAGTTGATTGTGGTCTAGAGCCTCCTTTATGGAAGTCTGCATGTTAGCCACTGAGCTATACAAGTACTTATAAAAATAGAAGGTTTTATAGTCTAAAAAAGTATACATTTAAAAATTGTTAGCATATCCCCTTATTTTATATACAAGACATATCTCCCCTTACATTTCTATATTTTAAAAATTACTTAATTACAACTATTTGATTAACTAATTGGTTCATTTTTTGAGTGATTCATGTGCTATGAACAAAGAATAATTGTGTAATGTTTCAACTTGATTGGAGAATGGGATGTGGGAGAAACAACATGTACAAGATACCACAGAGGGTATTGCTGTAAACATTGTAAGGTAAGTAAATAAAGTAATCCTTTTGACCACACTTACATTTTCTAGTCACATTGTTGTCTGTTGCCTCTTTGGACAATTTCTGGTAGCAGGTAAGGCAAACTCTAATCGGCTTTGAACTCTGGAGTGGGAGCAGCCATTTTTTACTGGTGCAAGCATTGCAGGCGACTATACCACAATGTCGACAATGGTGCTGGAAATTAAAAAGACATTATACAGACGATCATTCAATCAGTGGGAATAACTCTAAAATAACACAATACACAAGTTCATAGGATAAGTGGACAACACATAACTATCTGTAAATAAGAGTAGATACATTGGACTAATTCCATTCCAAACAGATTGACACATGAACACATGTATGGGCATAACACTAGAAATTTGGGTCTAATTTTTAAAAAAAAGAGGAAAAGGGATGTCTGAACTGAAAGAAATAAGAAAACTTGAAGCTGCACATGTATATTTAAAGACAATAAAAAAACAACACAGACACAAAGACTCATAATGCAGAATCGACACTTATGAGACAAGAACAGCGTCTTATTTTGCCTCAAAACTGGACACAACAGAATGAGACAACATATTTTACAGAAGCTCAAAATTGGAACTAGTGAAATCTGTCTTTGTGGAGTATCACCAGAGAATGCTGACCATGTCCTTAAAAAATGCATTCTTTACCAAGAGGCCCGTACAAGACAATGGCCACAAAACACCCCTAAAGAAAGAAAACTATATGGAGAGCCCCCTGATATGGAAAACCACTGTGCAGTTCATCTCATATATTGGTCTTGTCATCTGAATGCGCCAACATAATAATGAGAACGAGAAAGAAGAAGACACTTATGACTTGGAAATACCGGTACTAGTCCTTGATCGGTCCTGGACAGCCATCAGCAAAGAAGAATTAAGAGAAGTATAAAACTAAAAACAGGCAATATGGCAACTGGCCAAACTAACCAGAGCGTTGTGTGTGATCAACTTTTAAAAATAAAGATTGCACTTCATAGTCATCTTGGAATTCACAAGAAATGAGACAATCTTTGATCATGAAAGAGAAGCTATTTATATATATATATATATATAGCAGAACAAAATTATGACACAGATCTTAACACAGAGACACATAAAAGACATATACAATATAAAGGCAGACACAATTAAGACATACTGAGACGTAAGACAGATATTAAAAGACACATACCCTCCTATTAACCACAGTAAACTCTGACTTCCTACAGTGCATGCATGTCTTAGCCTCTGAGTCTGGCACCCAAACAGGAGAGTCCACTGTAGTGCTCTGTCTGATACCTCCTGGCAAGGAAAACAACATAAAGAGATTCCATTTAAAAGAGTGAAATAATCAAATGATCAATGACAAAAGTTTGCTTTATTATCACAACTAACAGCTTTCCCTATAATAAAATAATGAAAGTTAGTTGGAATGTATTATTTGGAGTACCGGTATCACACTTCTCTGTAAACTTTTAACAATGTATACAAGAAAAAAGCATCCAGTGTCCAACTGATTCACCTAAGTATTTTACTTAATTCTAAAGATTGCATACATATTACAGCTATAAAGGCAGCCCTAAAGACCAAATTTTTAATGAGAGAAATGATGAATTAAATATAGCGAGCCATGGACCTCTGATTCAACAACTCTTAGCAGCAATGCAATACTAGGCAAGATACTAGACCATCCAGAATATTTCTGATCAGTAGTCTTAGGTCAACATACACTTTGCAACCCAGAGGTCATATGACCAACCCCACTTCAAACCCACCAACAATCTTCAACAAAGCTGACATACAAATAGCTCTAATTGAATATCTGTAGCTGAGCAGCAAAGCACTTGGATTTTGAACCAGGGTCAGGGTTCGAATCCTGGTGAAGACTGGGATTTTCAATTTCAGGATCTTCAAGTCCACCCAGCTCTAATGGGTACCTGACATTAGTTGGGGAAAAGTAAAGGCAGTTGGTCATTGTGCTGGCCACATGACACCCTCGTTAACCATAGGCCAAAGAAACAAATGACCTTTACATGATCTGCCCTATAGACCACAAGGTCTGAAAGGGGAACAAAAACATAGAAGTTGTTAGCTTCAAACTACATTTGTATTTACATTCAAAAGATTTTTAGCTCATTTTAAATGATAGTCAAAGATAGCATAATTCAGCATGCATTTAGCAAGTCAGAATGGATTAAGTTCACCACCTAATCCTAAGTCATCTGATGATGATGAGGCAAATAAGGAAAATAATAACCACAAAGGTTTAGTTGAATGGATAATGCAGTTTTGAGATTGTTAACAGAATATCATGCACCCTTTTTGGGGTTGAATTAAACAGTGTGGCCTATGTAGTGTCGATGTGCCATGCATTTCAAACTTTTAGTGCAATTATGCCTCCACGATGAAGTTTTGTTGAAAAAAAAATTATGGTTTCCAAAAATACCTTTTAGTATATGTTAAAAAAAAAAGACATTGTAGAAGCCTGTATCAAACTATCGCAGAAATAAAAAAATATGTCTGAGGAAAAAGGATTGGGCTTCATAGTCTGGACTGGGTTCAAAAAGAATATAATATAAGGTTACAGAGTGATTGCTGTAACTCTAGAATCAAAGAAATAGCTCTGGAGAACTTAAGTTTCAGCAAACAATTACTTTATCTGCATAAAATGAAGCAAAATAATATGTAAGCACAAAGTGTCTTTGGATTTTATAAACCTTCATTCTTTTTTTGTTTATCAAAGGAAAGTTATTTTATCAATTCAAGGTCACACAGATTC